TTGAACAATGACAAAAACTATCACACCATAGTGTTCATGCGCCACATTGCTCTGCGCAGCTCCTGAAATGGTTTTCACCTCCTCGTGCCAAATCATCGTGCGTGCATGCACCACAATGGTGTAATTTAGATTGACGAGTGTAACGGGTTCTGCATTGTTCAGCTCTCTTCGATTTTGCACACTCCTAATTGTTTATTTAAGATGATCAATCAATCAAGCTTTGCGCAGCATCTGAAGTTGTTGAAATGAATGCACCCGTTGAACTTGGCCGCGTGCTAGATTACACTGCCGTGACGAATTGGTGACAAACGCCTAGACCTGTCAGATATAAATTCGAAACTCGTGTTAAATCAGTATCACGACGGACCCTCGACCAAATTTCTCCTCCTTGCAGTTCTCATTGTGCTTGGGGTATTCGCATGAAGGACTGGATTGAATGCCAGACGTTCCAGATGATTTCAGCTTGCCACTTGGTGCAAGCGTGGGCGGGCAGTTCACCGAGTTCCAGGAATGATACGACAAGCAATGGGTTTGTCTACATAAAGTTCAGGACGTACTCCGAACACTATATGTTGAATCAATACCACGACGAATCCTCCACCCAATTTATCCTCCCTGCAGAACACTCGGCAAGTAAGCATGTCCCTACACAACACTGCTAGTTGATATGTGTACACGTTCCTGGGAAACAATCAGATTTATACTAGTGCATGCGTCGGAGTCAGTCGCGAGTTTAGTGTAATATTCTCGAACATTAAGGATGAGGCGTGGTCCCAGTACAAACATCTGCACTCTCCACAAAATTTGAAGAGCACCGACGAGTGCCTCAGGTCCAACAGAATTCGAATCCTACAGAAACGATGGGCAGTGATTACACGCAGATGTCAGCGATAGATCAGCGCACCTCGAGCTCTGGATTGAAATTAGCAAGCTGGAGGCAAGAGACACAAGCAAAGCTAGCACGAGCAGAACGTTAGCAGAAAAAATATGACTTCAATCACATTAAAAGCTTACCTTGCAAAATAAAGTAAATGAGATTTTGTCAGCACGCTGAAACAGTCCCCAGTGGTCGATCTTGTCGGTGGGCCGAGTCGTCGAAGCTCACGGAAGTGTTTCACGGCAATCCAGACTGAAAGACACAGTGCGAGGACCTCCCAAACAGTGTTGAGCCTCCAAACCATTGAAACTAGAAACTGGTCGTTCCCTTCATAGCCATGATCGCACATATACGTGCCGGAGAGTATCAGCTCCTCTGGTGTTTGTCCAATGAACCATGTTCTTCAAGTCAACAAGTAAAGCTTACCAGTTACAGTGTTCTTGAGCACTATCGCCGTGATTACTCCGCAGGTGATGTTAATTGCCAGAAAGACAATAACAAGGATGATCATAATCATCCTAGATCTTTGATACATGGCATACAACCGAGCAATCATGATGACTTGCATGATGTTTCAGTCGAGTCAATAGCATTGAGGTATGCAGCTCGGTAACTCACCGTCCAACATAGCAGCTACGGCTACAGTTGAGCCATTCTTTGCGTAGTTTATAATATTGCCTGAAACGCCTAATTAGTGATCGCCCTCGTACTACTATTAAACACTCCGACGCACACCTATCGAGTTATTATGTTGAGCTGAATCAAATGATCAGAATCTCGCTCACCCCTACAGATAAGTATATTCATGGGATAGGATTGAGATAGTTGTGGAATACTCACTGCATCTGTCAGCGAGACGAATGGCATATTTTCTGTATGCCTCCGGTCAGGCGAATAGCACACAGCGCATATAAAACATACCCAGCATAAACAAACTGAACGTGAGGGATGGTCGATGAGCTATTAGCAATGTCGACTTGTTGGCCTTGACACATACACAAGATATGGTATTCCAATGAAACGTATCTAAAACATTTTGGAGTTAGTATAACGTGCCGACCACGCTATAGCATAAGGCACGAACAGCCAAATACAACACAGTCATCAGAGACCAGCGTTTCCTCTGTTGCGAATTCATCGTACTATCCTTTTTGTCTTCTCATGCGGGACTCCTGTCACTCACCCAGATAAGTTCAATCTATGACACTGTTCTTAGCGAGTTGGATTAGGCGATAGCACAGACCTACCTCTTCTCCGAGTGATAGTACTGCAAACATTAGTATGAGAATTTCGGCAGTTTTCGAACATTGTCCTGCTCACTCCAATCGTATACCACCACGACGCCTGCGGCGACTGCGAAACCGCGAGTCAATGTTAGATCTGGAAATATTGATGCGACTAACCTGTCCAATAACTATAAAAGATATTTGAATTGATTGTCGGCCACTGACTGGGATCGTTTGAAACTACGGTCATATTTGAGGGATGAGTGTGACTGGGGAATGTTGGTGGTGTTCAACGATAGCGTCGGTGCTAGATATACCACCGTTAAGACCTCAATAGTCATAGTGGAGTCTGATTTGCAAACAAGTATTATGCATGCGACTACTCGGACACCAGGGAAGTTCTAGTGATGGCATTGACGGTGTCGACAACTTATTTTTAACGCCACTTTGATAGATCCAACACAGGTCTAAGCGTGACGTGATCGCAACAAGGCATCTGCGCTCCCTCGGCCTTTGTTATCAGCTCCCCAATTCCTTTTTGCAACAGGTCGCAATCAGTGGCACGGCAAAGTCACACGAGAAAAACAGCAGCGCACTAGATTTTGTGCATTCGATCGTGCACTTGATCCAATGGAAATATATTGCACTGGCAGATATATCAACCACACAGCATGAGTCACTAACTTATGCTGTGTGGTTGATATCTGCTAAATATAAGATGCCGTTCCATGCTAGTAGTAGAAAAGAAAAACGCGTATACTCGTGTTTGACGATACCTTGCATATTCAACAGATGCAAATAACTGAAAACACAGTTTGAGCGGGCCGATGCACCTAACATCTAAACACCTCGCTTCGAAATAGATCAAATGACACAAACTATCATACTATTGAAATGATGCGCCCCATTACTTGCCGCAGCTTGAAGCGGTTTCCCGCTGCCATACTACCTTCAAGTTGGCATGCCAATTAATCGTGCATCAGTATGCACTGGCACAATAGTACGTAATGTGGATTGGCGAGGTTGGAGCGAGCGGCTTGCGTTGTTCAGATCCCTTTGATTTTACACTTTCCCAATTGTTCATTTGAGATGATTAATTGACCAGGCCTTGCGCGACGCACAACTTGGCCGCATGCTAACTTACACCGCCGTGACGAATTGAGGACGAACGCCTGCGGACTGCGGTATCACGCTCATGACGGTCGCCCTGTACAATGCCCTTGATCTCAAGTCTAGTATTTTGGATTAAATCTCACCATGAGCAACGAATACGGAGACCATGGCCAACAGGGATAGAATGCTCGTAACTACTTGTTTATGTTTTGTGATTTTTTTCGAGCCAATGAACCAACCTGACGTACGCAAAGGTTCAACAAGTAGTGGGTCATTGTTTGCTCTCTCCAGGTACTACATATAATTATATATATGCGCTTCCCAGAATATCCGACAGTCTCGAAAGTATTTCCTATACCTACACCCAAAAATCTAGCTGCGAAGAATTCGAAAAAAATAGCACAACAACAAATGGTGAACGAAGGTCGAAACATGCTGAACGAAGTGTGTTGTAATAAGTAAAGTGAAGTGGTTGTATTGCTCGTTAAACCCTGTGCCGTAGCTTAAACACTACAGAGCATGCGGCACTGTCCTGGTTATCAAGAAGCAGTGTCTGGCACTGCAAGCAACGACGTTAATCATCCTTCCACGAATCAAATGACCATATCCACTTACAGTTCGTATATGAATGTGATAGTACGCATCGCGTTCATGCAATGACGCAGTAGCAGCCTCCCGAGCTTGATTGCGACTCCTCCTCAACTGGTGTCGACGACACAGGGTTCCTCTCACTGTCGAAATCTGAAGCGGACAACATAACGAAGATGTTTGAGAATGAGTCCATTGTTTTTTGGGATATGGACAAGACTAGGGCGCGACTTTTACGAGTAGTCGAAGGTGTTGTATGAGGGATGGCAGTTGGATGAACTGCTGGTAGACGATAGTCAAATGTTACTTGGGTTGCTGGACATCGCGAGCTTATATACCTTTCGGATGTAAAAAATTTCACCATGGAGAAAACATTGAAAAATTCCCGTATGTTCCGTCCTATTTGTCACAATACCGCTCTCTGACTGTGCCTTGTCACGCGCCCGTCATTGGAGATTTCATTGACGTAGACAATAGACCAGTAAGCGGTGGCAAATGCGTGAAATATCATTGAAAGTGTCCTGTGACGCGGAGGCTTGACAATAACGTCACCCCAATCAGGCAACTGCAGTATTCATTGTGGTCAGCATTTCAAATTTCAAAATTTCAACCCAGTAATGATGATGACGGTGTACCTTTCACTAAGCACCTTGTGAATACCGTCCTGAATGTATTGTTCGCCAGGATTGGTCGGCCGCGCCCTCAACCTAACTTCGTCGGCCCATCTGTGCTGCGATCGAAATGAATATGATCCTAGAGAGCCCGAGTTACCTCAGGAGAGGACAAGGTCCACCAGTGGCGACTCATACCCCTCAGCAAAGATTAGTCCCAGGTTAAAGTTACCGCAGTCCATTTCAGGTCCGCTTCGGACAAATTTTCGTCCTGGTGACTGTACTTCCTCGCCCTCGAACCCGAGCCAGGACTACCCAACGGACCGGCCAGCCATGGACACATTGCGCTACTGGCACATATGCGAGTTGGAACAATATGCTTGTTCAACGTCGACAATGCCCAATCGTAAGCCCGGGTCGCAAGTTGCTGGCTTGTAGACGCATGCCTGATTGTTGTCCTCAGTCCAGACTCGGATTGCTACATTCGACATCCCAAAACTAGTACGGTTCACCTTATACCAAAAGACAGTATCAGCCGAGGGGTAGGATCTCTCACACAAACTGTATCCACTCATCTCATGGCCCATTCAGTCGACACATTATCAGCATGGCATTAAAAAGGCACGAGTCTCGAAGAACGCTAGATTCCATTTTACATACGATGATTTCGTCATGGGGAACATGGTGAGAAGGTGATGCTCTATAGCTAAGGTCAGAAAAATATGCGGCGAGAAAGAAGTGTAGTGAGTATGGAACATTGATGGTAGATGATTGTTTGATTCGGGAACCGAGGAGACGTCAACATGAGTGGATGGTGGAGGGGGTAAGACGACGGCAGCATAACAGCATAGTACCATGTTTGAAATGAGTGTATTTAGCTGTCCTGGGACTTGGACCGCACAGCTATTGTATGATGACTGTCAGCATGTTTCACGGTTTTCTTGTCTCCAACAATCCCAACGTGGTGAAGGGAAAGCACTGCCAGCAGCGCAGCTATCGACCGTGACAATACAAATCGTCAACAAGGTACCCTTAACCCAGACCAAATTCGCGGTACTCACCCATAAGCGCAAATGAAGCACAGGTCCATTGCGAAGATCTATAGCCCTTAAGCTGTGCAGAATGGGGCGCGTTGGTGCCAGCAGAGTTGACAGTCACGCCAAGGCGAGCAGACTCGTTTTTCACGACGATGTTAAACACAAGCGTAGATACAGCAAGTCCGACTGCAATGCCGAGCTATTCAAAAGAAATTGAGCTGAGAGCAGAACAGCATCAGTTGGTTTGATAATGCTTGCCTGTGCCATAGTTTGAAACATAGCTCCAGCCACGCTGCGTTCGTGTGGGTGCGCGATTTTGGCGATGAAAATTGTACCAGAAGAGTACACAAAATCAGCTCCGAACACGACGATGACCGTGGACGGGAAGCAGAACGCCCAATACGTTACGGTGGGGTCGATCAGCGCAAACAGGATGGCAGCAAATGCTGTCAGTAGCGTTCCGCTGACTGGACGACAAGTCAGCCCCACGTGTTACAGTATTCCTCACATAGAGCCGTACCTGCAAAGATGACCAAAGGGAATTTCCCAACAAACATGGCAACAAAGACGTTGCACAAACAGCCGACGACGAACATTGGAATGAACCGGAGCATAGTTTGTATAGGTGTGAGTAAAAGGTAATTCTGATAGTACAACTTGAACAGAGGATAGTCAGCGTCCTTGTTCCGCCGGGTAGAGAAAGATGGACATACCTGAACCCAGAAGGTCCAGCTAATGAAGGCACTCCAATTCAGGAATGCAATAACGAGAATGATGGCCATCCGGCCCTTTGCTCGCGTCCAAAGCGAGAGACTCATCAACGGCGGTGGTGTCCATGCGGACGGTACTCTTGATGGATCATCCATAGCTTGTTCCAAGTGTCGCTCCCAAAGAAGGAATAATGAAACCATGATAATCCCGACGATTAGAAGGGCAATAATGTCTGGCAATGATTATGCAATTTAGCAATATATGACACAGAAGAAGTCTTACATGGAGATTTCCATCCTTGAGAAGCAATCTCTCCTTGACCAAGTACGAATAAAATCAGGACCAAACCGACCGTGACGAGGGAAACACCGATCCAGTCGACAGCTTCGATCGAAGTAACATCTGCATCGAATGAAATCATGCCAGTAATACCTGTTATAGCAGATATTGCAGCAACCAAATAGAATGGGGAACGCCAGTGCGTCCTTTATGTAGACATCAACAATTCAGCGTCTCGCATAAGAAACTCATGACGCACGAGGATATTTGTGTGAGGATACCACCGAAGATCATGCCAAATGCGCCACCGATAGGAGCACCTGCCGCAAATGTTGCAAAAGCTATTGAACGCATTTTAGACGGAGGGAATGCGTGCGCCAGGATACCGAGCTGACAAGCTGCATGAGAATTCCAGTCCAAGATATATAGTATACTCACTGCAGATGGTATTGTAGCGGCGGCTCCACTGCCTTGAAAGGCACGCAAAATGACAAGGGTAGTACCACCTGCGAGTGTAAATGGAATGGAGCTGACCGACAGATAGGTGGCACTCACTCTGTGCAAAGCCACAACCAAGAGAAAATGCGACTTGACAGAGAGAGCCAATTACGAACGCCTTCTTGCGTCCATAGATATCGGCTAATCTGCCAAAGAACAAGAGAAAGCATCCCTAAGGAAGGTATAAGGCTGAATGCAGAAAGATGAAAAGAAACGAGGACGTACGGAACTGAGTGAATAAGCAGATACGATCCACTGCAGCTGTTCTTCTCTGATATTGAGGTCCTTCTCAATGGTTGGGAGCGAGACAAAGACAGAACTATTATTAGCGACCTGTGGTCAATAACAAATAGTAAGCCACGTCACGAAAAAATATCGCAGAGTATGAATACGCTGAGGGCATACGTTGATCATCATTGCAGCTGTGCAGGTCGCGATGACGAAGATAGAGCGACAAAGACTGCGTTGTATGCCATGGTGCTTGGCCTTCTCGAGGCTAGTGAGATCTTGACGAATTGGTGAACAAGTACGAATGAGCTCCTTGGACATTGTTTCCTGGGAAATTGACGGTGCGAGCCTCGAGGGAGGATGATCCAGTGTGCATCGTGGAACGAAGCAACTTATTTTTAAGTGCTGTTCGGGCCAACGTCTAGTTCCCTGCGGTAGCAATGCATGTCCAATTATTAATTAATATCCTCGCATCTTCGTTGAATATTCGTTCGAAACTTCGGATACCAGAGAAAATATCGTGAATTGACAGTCTTGTGGGACATTCAGAGCGACACATATACCTGTTCACTCAGTCTCCCCTGTCATCCCTCGCATCTATCTTTAGCATTATGTTATGCCGAAAACCGCCTAAACTGCAAATTTTCAAACTCCGTACTTCCTTGGCTACACCACGTGGTAACTTATCGAAGCTCGAGCGGGTCCCGGGACAAGTTGTGCTCGTTCATATATTTCTCTTTCGGTATATTTTTTTTTTCATCCCTACGCTAATGTCCATAAAACAAGCTACGAGTATAATGCCTCAACATCTCGGTTCTTTACCTGAGACATGTGAACCGTTCCAGATATTGTACAATAAGCTAACAGCCAATAGATACATTTTTTCTGCTACTGGTACATGACTCTCACAAAGAGTTCTTTTCCCGAGACTGGGAGATAATCATGTACTCGGTTCATTACCCACTGTGCTTGTCCTGTCCAAAAGTACAAGTAGTATTGCGAACCTTCTTCATTCCATGGTCATGTGGTTACTTACGATAACTTGTTGATCTTGGCCAAGTACCTTGGTTCTTACACAAATCATATAGGAGAACTCGAGGAAACTAAGAAAATCTGCCAATTACTACAGTTTTCTGGTGGCAGTCGAGGATATGTAGGAGTAAAGTCCCTCACACAAAATGTTTCAAGTCGAGCTCGAGTGTACTGGTGCATGTCGACACATCTATCCGCATGAAATCAAACGAATCTTAAAAACACTGGATTCAATTCAGCTGTACGATGATGATATAGAGACACTTGTACGTTGATGCCTTGTCACGAAGTACATGCCAAGGGTAGGGGAAAAAGAATCTGGATACAGTCACTGCACGTTGGATAAATGAATAACCGCTAGAAAGCCACGCTACTTGTAATCATATACCGTGCAAGATAAGTATGGACGCTCTACATGTAAGGACAGAAAAATGTAATGCTAGAAACGAGGGTAGTATAGAGCATTGCTCGTAGAAGAGAATTAGCCCAACCTTGAATTGTAGTTTGATTTGGGAACGAGTATATGATCGAGTGAGGAATGGGACGATGGTAGGATGACGCCATGTGTCGTTGGTGGATGGTTTAAATGAATGGATGTATCTATTTGGCCTCGGCTTCGAACCGTTCCGCAATTGTCTGGTCACTGTCGACATGCTTGAGAGTTTTCTTGTCTTCTCCAATAATCCCAACGCCGTAAAGAGAAAGCGCTGCCAGCAGCGCAGCTATCAATCATGACAGGGCAAATCATCAATAAGGCAGTCTCGGCTCATGCCGAATTTGCGATACTCACCCATAAGGGCGAACGAAGCACAGGTCCATTGGGCAGCTCTATATCCCTTGAGCTGTGCGGAAGGAGGCGCGTTGGTGCCAGCAGAGTTGACAGTCACGCCAAGGTGAGCAGACTCGTTTTTCACCACGATGTTGAATACAAGCGTAGATACAGCAAGTCCCACTGCAAAGCCAAGCTATTCCAAAGAAATTGAGCTTAGAACTGGACAACATCGGTTGGTTTGATGATGCTTGCCTGTACCATGGTCTGAAACAGAGCTCCAGCCACGCTGCGCTCGTGTGGGAGCGCAATTTTGGCGACGAAAATCGTACCGGCAGTGTACACAAAATCAGCTCCGAACACGACAAGAATTGCAGACGGGAAGCCGAACGCCCAATACGTTGCAGCCGGGTCGATCAGCGCAAATAGAACGGCGGCCGATGCTGTCAGTAGCGTTCCGCTGACTGGAGGACAAGTCAGTCATACATGTTGCAATATTCATATTACTCGCACGGAGTCGTACCTGCAAAGATGACCAAAGGCAATTTGCTAACAAACATTGCAACCAAGAGATTACACAAACAGCCGACGACGAACATCGGGAGGAACCGGAGCATAGTCTGCATAGGTGTGAGTAACAGGTAGTCCTGATAAAACAACTTGAATGGAGGGTAGTCAGCGTCATCGTTCCTCCGGGAAGCGGAACGTGGACACACCTGAGCCCAGAAGGTCCAGCTTATGAAAGCACAGCTATTAAAAAATGTCGTAGCGAGAATACCAGCCATACGGCCGTTTCCTCGCGTCCAAAGCGAGACACTCATCAATGGCGGTGGCGTCCATGCGGACAGTGCTCTTGATGGATCAGCTGTAGCTTGCTCCAAGTATCGCTCCCAAACAAGGAACAACAAAACCATGATAATCCCGACGACAGAAAGGGCAACAATGTCTGGCGATGGTTATGCAAATTAACAATACGTGACACGAAAGAAGTCTTACATGGAGTGTTCCAGCCTTGAGAAGCAACCTCTCCTTGACCAAGTACAAATACAATCAGGACCAAACCAACCGTAACGACGGAAGCACCGATCCAGTCGACAGCTTCGATCGAAGTAACATCTGCATCGAATGAAATCAAGCCGGAGATACCCGTTAGGGCAGTCATTCCAGCAACCAGATAGAATGGCGAACGCCAGCGTGCCCTTTATAAGGACATGAAAAATCCAGCGTCTCACATGAACAATTTACGACGCACGAGGAATCTTGTACGAGGATACCGCCGGCGACCATGCCAAATGCGCCGCCGATCGGAGCACCCGCCGCAAATGTTGCAAAAGCTATTGAACGCATTTTAGACGGAGGGAATGCGTGCGCCAGGATACCGAGCTGACAAGCTGCATAAAGATAATTCTAGTTCAAAGTATGAAAAACACTCACTACAGACGGTATTGTAGCGGCAGCTCCAATACCTTGGAAGGCACGCAAAATGACGAGGGTAATACCATCTGTCATAGCAGTGTAAATGGATGGAGCTGACTGACAGATAGGTGAGACTCACTCTGTGCAAAGCCACAACCAAGCGAAAATGCGACTTGACAGAGAGTGCCGATCATGAACGCCTTCTTGCAACCATATATATCGGCTAATCTCCCGAAGAACAGGAGAAAGCACCCCTAAGGAAGATATAAGGCGGAGGAATGCGGAAAGATGAAAAGGGACGATGACGCACGGAACTAAGGGCATAGGCAGATATGAGCCACTGCAGCTGTTCTTCGCTGATATTGAGGTCCTTTTGAATAGTTGGGAGCGAGACAGAGACAGCACTAGTATTAACGGTCTGTAATCAGCAAGCGGTTATTAAAAAATGTCGCAGAATATGATTTCGATGAAGGCATACATTGACCAACATGGTAGCGGTGCAGGTCGCAATGATAAAGATGGAGCGCCAAAGACTGCGCTGCAAATCATGGGGCTTAGCCTTCTCCGAGTCCAGGTCAATGTGATCTTGAGAGAATGATGAATGAGTAGTAAGTTCCTTGGACATCACTTCTTGTGTCACTCAGTAAATTGTACAGTGCAGTGTTTGAGGGAAGATAATTCGATATTCATCATGAACCGCGACCTAATATATGACCTATGCGCTGGTAGTATTGTTGGCAGAACTCGGAGCTTTTGTGTCAACTGGAGATGACTGCTACTGAGACTCTTGACGATCGCGGAGATGCTAATTGATAAAAAATTAATTTCAATGGATTTGAGCGCGAGTCGTGGGAATAGTGTTGTGGGCAGAACTGACGAGTTCTGCCAAAAACAAGGGATGTTCAATTCTCAAATGTCGTCGTCAATGTCGGCTTGACCTTACGGCCGTCCTCTCGTAAACTACTTACGCAGACCCTGAACCTTTCCTGATTTAGCCGCTACCGTGTCGGTTAAACCTTCGCATGGGAGACATTCTAACAGCAATTGCACGGAAGGATAGTGACAAGATACTTAGTCACGGTAGAGTGGTAGACGCAAGGTTTGACGACTAAATCAGGAAAGGTTCAGGGTCCACGTAAGTAATGTACGAGAGGACGGCCGTAAGGTCAAGTCGACATTGACGACGACATTTTAGAATTGAACATCCCTACAGTAGAACTGGTTGTGCAGAACTCAGGGTTGGAAGAGAACTAGTCCATAATAATATGTACACTGGTATGAATTTAAAAATGTGAAAAAGAGTTGCAGACACTCTTGGTTGATCATTTGTCCTAGAATATGGATTGGACATGCAAAACCGGGCTCAACTTTACATAAGCGAAAAACCTTAAATCACAGCCACCTGACCTGAAGCTTTGTGAGCACCATTTCTGAGCTTCTGAGTCCATGAAGCCATCTATAGAATTTTCAGCAGCAGGTAGCACGGTGAATTTGTTGTAAACACGTAAGGTATACAAAAATATCGCTACTGTATGTAATCACGGCGAAATAAAGTTTAAGCCACAATCGGCTCATTCTGAGTCGAAACTCGATAAGGAAATCTAAATAATCTAAATCCAACACCATCTTGATACATCAAATATGTTATAACTACTGCAAAGGTGGGATATATCAATGTTTTGATTCATTGTGTGCTTTTAGCTATTGCTGGCTGTGCAGCAACAACATCTCAGCGACTAGCGGAGTCAACTAATGTATTCAATGTACCTGCAGCAACAACGTCTGCAGATGGTGTTAGTTGTATACATAGTACATACAAAATGGATACTGACCTCAGCGACTAGCAGAGTCAACTGAGGAAAGCGGCAGGTAAATGAATGAACGAGAATTTCTACTACTTAGATAAGTGAGTGGTATTGAAGGATGACAACAAACATTTGATATTCAACACTCCCCCTCAAACTGAGTGAAGTCCGAGGGTGGAGGCGAAGTACTCGGCTTTGAGACTAGGAAGGGGTTTGATAAGAGTATCTGCGGTCATAGTGTCTGTAGGACAATAAACTAATAAAATTGAGCCTTTTTCAACAGAGAACCAGATGAAATGATACCTAATGTCTATGTGTTTTGTCCAGCCGCCCCAGACTTAGCTAGCACAATAGCTGACTGGTTGTTGCAATGGAGGGTGATGGGGTGGACTAATGAACAGAATATTTCACTGGCAAAGTGGTGCAGCCAGATTCCCTCCTTAGCAGCGTGTGTGGCTGCAACATATTTGGCTTCTGTGGTGGAGAGAGTAATGAGCTCCTGCTTCTTCGAGCTCCATGACACTGCCCTGCCATCAATTAGGAACACATTGTAGAGACTTGCATCTCCACAGACACTTCCCTCTGAATTCACCCACTTTCCTTACAAACTCCAGCTCTAATCCACAGGATACATCTAGCGCATTTAGCGCACTTGTTTTATTTTGAAGATTTTGTGCACGGCCTTGTACATTTGCGCACTTCGCGCATCCACACTCACATTGTCCACGCACCCGTACATCCATCCATCCCATGTCCTCAGAAGTCCATTGGTGTGTTTTCCCATCATATTCCCATTTCGTTTAATTGTTTTCCATCACTAATGCTTGGCTCTGTGCTTCGCACGTAACTGAGACCCTATTACATATCTCACGTACTATTTATAGCCTGTTCAGCTCGTCACATCAGACCTGTGCGCCTAGCGGCGCTTAGCTATTTTACTTATACCCCTCTATTACTTATGTACTGGGTTGATTTTCTGCCCACTTTCTCTGTGTCCTTAAATCCTAGGGAATTTTACTTGTTGATTGCAGTGACTATCTAAGTCGCACACATAAGTTGTCTGCCCTTCGCCTTAGCATCAGCCAACCTTAGTTGGGGTGTTAACAGTAGTCTCGCTTCATTTCTCCTTTGTCTCTCTCGCTCATTCGTATTTTGCCTTTGCTCATGCACGCTACCTTCGCATTGCACTTCTCCCCCTTTGCCTTGTGCACTTGCGCATCATCGTGTGTATCTGTCTATCGTTTATCGCATTGAACTCGTCTCGTGCTCCGCGTGACTATTAGTCCTATTACCCTATTACTAGTTTGGTGTCCCTTTTTTTATAAGAGAGGTTTCCCTTTACCCAGACAGCTGCCCTTGGGTCGACATTTCACTTGTGCCTGGGTCTATCTGTGTTTGCTTAGCTTAGCACCAACTTTCACCACAGTTTAGATTCCTCATCTTCAGTGTACCCCAATATCACATGACAATGCTCTTGGGATGCACTGTCAGTGTCCATATACCCTTCTAGGCCATTCTTAGAGCCTCCAAAGGTAAGTGCTAAAGATTTTGTGCTGATTAGATACTTATAGGGAACTGCACAGGTAAACCCATTGTAAAGAGTAGATCTGGGCTGGGCTCTACTGAATGTGAGTCCCTAGTCCTGAGAGATGCAAGTATGCTTCGTCCCAAGAGACAACCTAAGAACTACCTTGATAATGCAAGGGAAGTCTTATACAGTCAGAGAGTAGACAAGATATTAGAAGTAAACCTCTTTAATGTTTGTCCATAGTTCCGAGACTACTTCTGAAGTACTGAGAAACTTGTCCGATGCGACCAAAGGTCGTCTGAAGCTGCGAAAGTGTTGTCCGAAGTAGCGCGATGCCTTCTGAGACTTGTGAAGGCTGTCTGAAGGTCAATATATGTCAGTATGTCGATGTGTCGAATAACAGTATAAGACTTTGCGAAATGTCCGAAGTCCGGAATGACACTAATCTATCGGAACTCAACAATAACGAAGTGCAGAATTGGCAGCGGTCTAGCCAAACAATCATTCTGAATGAACAAAGATCGATTGCGCAGTTACGATTATACCAAGGTGACTCTACTAATTACTACTCGAAGTACGGGAAGTGAAGTGAAGTATCAGTAGCCAGCAAGCGAGATTATATCCTACTTCCGTGAGAGACCGGAATTCATAGGTGAAACTAGTAGCGAGATAAGCAAGTCCGAACCTATGTAATAAGCCGCAAGGCGTGCAGGAATGCAAGTATACATGTAATAAGCTGTGATGCATACTGCTTATACGTATTCCGAGGCTCCCGACAGGATGCCAATGGAATTTTATCTATGTAGCACTAGGACGTAGTCAACATATAGTTAGAATAAGGGAAAATGCACCAGTGAAGTCAAAAGGACGAGGATAGGACATGGTATGGTAACTTCTGAGGTTCGGACAGGCCTCGGAACATGAGAACTGCCTGCGGAAGGTTCGGACAAGTGCGCACGGCCTTTGGAAGGTCAAGGGAGGTCGGGGAATGGTATGAACGTAGGTGTTGGATTGCCTGGTTCTGAGCCCAGTGTGGCGACCATCGTTACACCATGGGTGTGCGCAGTCGGACCCATACCCATACCTGGAGATATACCCATACCCGTGGTGCAGGTACGGGTTTGCTTGCAGGTATCAGCCAAATGGACCCAGGGTATTGCCTGTGAGGGGTATACCCGCGGGTCATGTTACAATAACATTTACTCCTATTTCATTTTTCTTTTCTTGTAACCATGCCGCCGACTCTAGACTCATCTAGACTCGGCTATTCGCACTGAATTCATCGACTATCACAGAATTCGGACCAAGAAACTTTCGAAACCCTTTGCCATGGTCACCGCCGACGGTAGTGACTGCCGCAGCGGGAAGATCAGAGAATATGTCGAACTCGGCATCAAGATTGACAAGCGAGTCATGTATGGAAAATTCAACGTGACCAAGCTTCGAACCAAGGACAACATCCTCCTTGGATTCCCTTGGCTGAAAGCCATGAACCCAGACATCAACTGGGCAGAAAGCAGTCTCACCCTCAATGAGACCCCGAGATCTAGAGAAGTAGAACTCTGGATAGATCAAGAAAGGAAGGACGCAGGCTTCAAGCCGCTCTTCAAACCGAAGCCTTACCCCAGGAAGGCCCCCAAGAACATTCTGCACCCCAAGAAGGTGCCTATCAAAGAACCAGCGACCCCCAAGAAGGCGCTAAACCCTGAACCCCCGACTTCTAAGAAAGTCCCAGTCGCTTCTGAGCCCATCTGCCAGAAGAAAGAAGAACTCCATGCCTCCATCGAGGAAATCCCCAATGAAGATGAACCTATCCCACAGTTGAACCCTGACCCAGATGAAGAAGATGAGAGATTTGAAATCCCAAATTTTGATCAGAAGCATGACACTTGGATAAAGGATAACTTCGCACCAAAAGTCGAAGATTTGGCCTCCTTTCCCCTCACCGATGATGAATTCCTCATTGAATACTCCCAGGATGCCACCGTAGTACACCTGATAGAGAATTTGGATTTGGACACACCCCTGACCCGTGACGGTACCTCGGCATTTGAAACTAAGAAAATGGCAATACCCCCCTTGCTTCCGGAATACCTGAAGACTAGCAACAAGTCCCAGGAATTAGCCATGGAAGGTGAGATTGAGAAGAAAAAGAAGACATTCGAAGAATTAGTCCCTTCTTATCTTCACGACTTCGCCGACCTTTTTGCCAAAGACGGTCTCAACTCCATGCCACCTCATCGACCAGGTATTGACCATAGGATTGAAACCAAGCCCGGGTATATTCCAAAGTCATCCAAACTCTACCCCCTATCTGAGAAAGAAAGGGTTGCGGCCAAAGTGTTTATTGACGAACACGTGAAAAGGAATTTATCTCCCCCTTGAAATCCCCTCAGTCGAGCGGCTTCTTCTTCGTTGGAAAGAAAGACAGATCCCTACGGCCTTGTCAAGACTACCGGTATATTAATGAATGGACAATAAAGAACGCATATCCCCTTCCCCTCATTCCGCCACTCTTAGCGAAACTTCGTGACGCAAAGTATTTCACCAAGATGGACGTCCGATCCGGATATAACAACATTCGGATTCACCCTGAAGATAGATGGAAGGCGGCATTCACGACTGAATTCGGACTCTTTGAGCCGAATGTCATGTTCTTTGGTCTTTGCAACTCACCCGGTACTTTCCAGGCCTACATGAACCA